TTTATATATTTATACACACACACACACACACACATATAAAGATTTCAAACCTTGAAACCATCTGGAAATTTCAAGGCATCACAGAGAGGCAGCTACTTTCAGATCTCTAATCATACTTCTCCCCCGCAGTGCTCCGGGGCACCTGCACAGAAGCAGATGTGCATGGCGCTGGAGGTATCACCCACAGAGAGAGAAAGTTTTATTTCCTTTCTACCTGGCATATTATAGAGATGGTCCAAGTCCTTGGTTTAATGCCTGTTTGTCTAAGAAAGCAAACTGTACTCCTCAGTCTTAGAGCAGAGACAGACCCTGTCAGGGCTCTTGATGACCCTGATTCTGCCAAGGAGGGCTCAGCCAGCTGGTCCCTGGGTTTGGGGCCAGATTGGCTGTGTGACCTTGGAAAGTACCTCCTCTGGGCCCCTAATTCCTCGTTTATAAGGTAAGAGTTGGGGGAGACATTTTCTCCTGCATGCTTTCCTGACTCTAAACTGTACAGGAAGTGTAACAGATGAATAGCTCTTGACTAATTTTGACCCCCAAAAGGGGAACACTGTGCTTTTCTATCACCATTAATTATCAAAGGACAAAGTGTCAAGACACCACCTGGGCCTGAGGGTGTCGAATTTCAAAAGTGTATCTAAAATGAGTTCTGAAATATTTAGGCCAAGGAGTAAGTTAAGGACAGCACCCCAGGCATGGGGGTCAGACTCCAGAGGCAGACACAAACCCTCAGGCTCTCCTGCCCGCCAAAAGGTGTTTGGGGCTCCCCTCTGAACTCACCCCAGCCCCCCTTAATACCTTCCCTCTGCCCCAAACATCTCCCAGGCAGGCATGAGCAGCCCAGAAATCACTTCCTCCTCACCCTCCCAGGACAGAATTAACTGTTCCTCATCCGTGTTGTCCCAGCACCCTCAGTAAACAGACCTGGATTAGGCACTTAGCCCATCAAGGTCTCATTAAATGTTTACCTCTCTGTCTGGTGGCCCAGGCACAGGGCAGGGACCCAGTAAAAGTGGGAGCGGGGAGGTGGCCAGCCCAAGGGACCAGATAGCTCACTGCAAAATAGTGAGAATGAATGATGGGGCTGAACAGGTGCTAGACTCACAGTGGTGGCAATTCCCGGCTGAGGGACCCTGGACTGACACACCTTCACTGGGCTTCAATGGCACCTTCTACACAAGACCAAGAGGAAGAGCCCCAACTGGCAAGTGGCACGTGTAGCCCTGGGAGGCAGTGCTGCACACAGAGTCCGCAGAGTCCACAGAGTCCACAGGAAATGCTCACTAACCGGCAACCATCATCCAGGGAGGCCGGAGCCCAGGCCAGGTACGTGCCCAGGCTGGCCGCCTCAGGGCAAGTTCAGCTTCATGTTCATGGCCCACCACTGCACATGGGAATCTGTCTTCCCCAGAGCAGGCAGATCTCTTTGCCCTTACCTTAAAACAACCTCTCAGCTCCAGATGACAGGAACACAATAAATTTCATCTTTTGGGTTGGGGGGGAGGGTATTTAGACTATTTACTTCATCTTAAATCTTCAAAATCATAGGGACCCTGACCAGAAACCAGGAGCCCTCCTCCCAGTGCCCTCCCTGGCTTGCACTTCCTCAGTCTTGGCAACTGGGTTCCCCTACCCCCAGAAAAACAGGTTTACTGTGCAGTGCCTGGCAGGCCCAGCGGGTGTTTTGTATTGTCACATCCTAATGTTGACACTAGGAAAATCAGCTGCCCTATCTGTCTGCCTGGTGCACGCCCCTCTCCTGCTTGCCCCAGAGCCAGCAAGGAACTGGGGACCAAAGACTGATTTGCTCACGTTCTGTATTTTTGCCAGGCCCAACCCCGACCAACCAGTGGCAGGACAAGGGGGAAGACAAGGACGCAGCCACCTCTGTCCATCCAGACCCGCTGCTGGCTTCCTGGAGGCCACCACCAACAAAACCCAAGCGTGCCGAGAACTTCCTCAATACAGTTTGGAATTGTTCTGAGTAGAGAGTAGCTGGACTCTCGTGGGATCCTCTAAGTCCGAAGCAGGGGAAGCAAGAAGCCATTAATTGTCTACAAACTTAATAGGTTCACTAAAAACAGGATGCTTTCCAGGGAGAGGGGAAATGCAGCCTGCAGTGGTGCCAGATTCAGGCAAAGGAGCCCTTCCTGAATGAACTCCTTCCATCTATTTAAAAGACAATTAGAAGCGAAAACGTGGGCTGTTAGTAGTGGCCTCTGGTTTCTTCACAGTTCAGTAAATATAGATGTCATTTTAATATCTTATCTGGTAACCACCTAAAAAATGTATGCAGCCCCTCTGTCCAACCCAGGCACCAAGGATCTACCATTTATCACCCCTTTCCTCATGGAACTTGTCAGATCTGAGTGAGCACACAAGTGCTGAGATAATTTCAGCCATAGCATCTTTAAGATGGTAAAATAAGGTCTTAGAATGGAAGCCCAGTGGGAGGGGAGAGAGGGACTATGCCTTGAGATAGGATAGTCAGGGAAGACTTCTCAGAGGCGGCGCAATTGAGCCTAGATAGCAAAGGATAAACCAGACACCCACAGGGACTAGGCTAAGCCAATCACTGGAGACAGGTCTCCATTTCACAGGCCTCAGTATCCCCTGTGTTGGGAGGAATACCGCTGCTGAAATGAGTTTGCTGCCTAGGGAACAAGTTCCAGGCAGTGGCTAAATGCCCACACCTCAGAGGCCAACATCCCCAGACACTTTTGACTTTTTTTTTTTTTTTTTTGAGAAAGAGCCTCGAGCTGTCCCGTTGGGTAGAGTGCTGTGGCATCACATCTCACAGCAACCTCCAACTCCTGGGCTCAAGCGAGTCTCCTGCCTCAGCCTCCCAAGTAGCTGGGACCACAGGTGCCCGCCACAACACCCGGCTATTTTTTGGTTGCAGCCATCATTGTTGTTTGGTGGGCCTGGGCTGGATTTGAACCTGCCACCTTAGGTGTATGTGGCTGGCGCCTTAGCCACTTGAGCCACAGGCGCCGAGCCTGCTTTTGACATATGCCGGAGGTGGCAGGTTCAAACCCAGCCCCGACCAAAAAAAAGAAAAACAAGTAAAAATAAACCTTGGAATACCTAACACTGGCAAGGCTGTGTAGAATCCATGGCTACAGTCAGTGACAGCCCAGTGACCTTAGGGGTCCGAAGATGGCAGGAGATTCCCAAATCCTGAAAGAGTGAAGAGATGAGAGCAGCAGGAGGGGCAGCTAAATGTGCACACCTGCCCCAGCACTAGGGTTGGCTCCAGCTTTTCTGGGAGGCCATGGGCAAGTAGGGGCCCAGCTAAGGCCCCAGAGGACCCTTTACGGAACTGCAGAACAATTCATGCCCAAATTAAGTAGAAATAAGGTGTTAACTCCAGGGAAGCTATTAACTTGAGTGGGATCCATTTTATAGAATGAACAAACTGAAGTTTAGACAGGCCGATTAGCCTGTCCAAGGCCACACAGCTGCACAGTGGCTATGTGGAGAGGTTGGTGCTTGTTTTCCAATAAAAGGCTCTTGGCTTCTGGCCAGACAGCCCTGGAATTTCTGTGCCAGATAAGGCCTCCTGCTCCAGGAGGCAGGCAAGGAGCACATCTCCATCCCAGTGCTAGCTGGACCATTTGTCCTGTTCATTCGTTCCTTCCTTCCTTCCCTCCTTCTTTATGTGAGACAGTCTCTGTACTAAAGTGCTGTGTTGTCAGCATAGCTCACAGCAATCTCAAACTCCTGGGCCCAAGTGATGCTCTTGCCTCAGCCTCCCAAGTATCTGGGACTACAGGCATCCGCCACAATGCCCCAGCTAGTTTTTCTATTTTTAGCACAGACGGGTCTTGCTCTTGTTCAGGCTGGTCTCAAACCTGTGAGCTCAGGCAATCCAGCCGCCTGGGCCTCCCAGAGTGCTAGGATTACAGAAATGGGCCACCGCTCTGGGCCAGGTCTGCCTCCTTCTTAATGTGGGAAGGATAAGACTGTCAATCATCCCTTTGTAGGGGAGCTGGAGCTCCCAGACCACAGCAGGGGCAGAGTTACAACAGCAGCAACAACAAAAATGTTACCAAAAAATTGTTACAAGAGCACCAGCAGCAGCAACAACAACAACAACAACAACTTCCCGCCCCAGGCCGTGCCTCACTCTAGAAAAAAGAGAATGGTCAGTTTGCAAAGCCAATGATGGGCTCCCAGGAGGCAAAAGCGAGAAGAGCCCAGGGCTTGTTACCGCCACGCCCCGCAGACCGCCTGACCCTCCCGGGTTGCGGGAGAGAGCTCGTCCCCCGACCATACAGACCCTTAGCAGGCCGGCCAGTGGGCTCTCAGTTTGCCAAAAAAGGTCGCGCTGCGAATCAGGCTCCAACCCCGACCCCCGCGGGGCGCACCTGTGCAAGGCGCGCGGGCAGTGCTGGCCGGCTGCTGCGCCCGGCTCCGCGTACAAGTTCCTGTTCCGGACTTTATCCGCGTCGCATAAAGCCCTTCCGAAGCCCTACTGAGCTCGCCCTTCCAAAGGTGCATGGCGCCTCGGGGAGCCTTGGATTGTGGCGGGGACAGGTGCCCGACGCCATCTTCTCTCTTTTGGTGGAACCGGCGGCTGTGCCGTTCTGGCCCTGGGCTGGCGGCGCCACGGGGCGCTCGAACCCGGAGCACAGTCCCCGCAGGCCGGGCGAGAAGGCGGTGCGGGGAAGAGAGGTTATGCAGACCTAGGGGCGGTACGCGGAGAGGCCACCCCATTGCTCCGATGCGGAGACTGAGACCCGCAGGAGCTGGGGCTGTAAGGATCACGGGACAGGAACCTTGGAGCTCCGGGCCAGAAAGGGGACGTTTCGGAGCCGAAGTCTCTAGATGCTGCTCACAAGTGGCACTCACCTTTGACGTGCCAGGGAGCTGAAACCTGGGCACTAATCCCCAACCTTCCAGCTGCCCGGCACCCAGGGAAGCTACCTGGGCGCTTACTCCCGGGCTCGGGCTGGCTGCAGCGGCCGGCGGTATTGGTGTAGGGGGCTCGTACTCACCTCGCGGCAGCGGCGGCGGTGGCAGAGTTAGCGGCGCGCCTGGCAGGAGGCGTATTGTCTGCTACCGGGCTGCAGGCTCGGATCCTAATAGGCCCGCCCCGCCCGCGGGCGCCGCGCCCCGCCCAGGGCACCGCCTCTGCCTAGAGCCCCAGAGTGAGACTTACGGCTTTAGGACAGCAGAACCGTTACACGTGCGTGGGTTTACTTGTTCACTGTTTCTCTGCCCCCTGCTGATCTGCAGGCTGATTTCCTCCCGCGCTGCTTTTCCCGGCGCCCAGCACCTGTTAAGCCCCATTTTCCATTCTTACTATTTTGCAGTGAGCTACCTGGTGAGCCTTGAGCTGTTCGTGGATGGTCCCAGTGCCCGAACCCGGGTATATAATCCGTGTTCTTTACACCGATCGCTTTACTTCGTGTTCAATTCGTGAGAAGAGTGTAGGATCCTATCGTTTGAGCGCGAGTTTGGGAAACAGCTCGGGGCATCTTTTCATGTCATTATGCCCGTGTGGAAACTGAGGCTCAGAGAGGACAAAATGACTTGTTGGATGACAGCGTGAACACAGCGTTAAGAATGTGTTCCCTCTTCAGAGTTAAGCAGGGTAAAAAATAAAATAAAAATGCATGCTCTTTAGGCCAGCAGCCTTGGTAGCCAAGGTGTGTTTAATCCTGTTTCACCAACGTGAACACTGAGGTTCCCACGCGGTGAGAAGCCGCACGGAGCGCGCTGGACTCCACGCCAGGGGGCTTCCCCCCACTCCCACTTCCCTGCAGCAGCACCCAAGGTCTCTCTCCCCGCAACCCTGGGGAGCAGCCCAGGCTGCAGGGCCGGGTAAAGGGTTGGGAGGTGGGCAGCCTGAGTGACACGCCCCCCAAGCCCCCAGGCCTCGACACGCCCAGGGAGAAAGGCGAAATCGGAAAATTTCTTGGCGGGCTGGGAGGGAGCCAGCCCCAGGGTGGGCGGGGTCTCAAATCCACAAACCTGGAGATTAGGGGTGGGTTGTCAAGAGGAAGGCCAAAGCCAGTGCTGGAATAACAAAGTAGCGATTGTGTTGGAGCACAACAACAAAGCTTGTTTACCTCAATCCTGCACCTCTCTGCAACCCCAGGAGGGGCTGGCTGCAGAGAGGGCTCCTCTCCCCCTAGTGCTGTCCTTTGCTACCTGTATAATACCCTCACCCTGTTCTTCCAACCTCTAGGATGATAAAATACCTACGTCTCCCTCAACATTCTCATCTGTGAAATGGGATGACAGCACCTACCCAGCAGAGCTGTAGGGAGGAACAGAGGAGATAAAGTTTAATAATAAACTCTGCCCCTCTCCCTCTTGGAGTTCCTTGACTTCTGCTCTTGCCCTCCTTTTCTACCACCCTCAGATTACATCATCTCTATGGCCTAAGAAGCCTGGCTACCCTGACTATTGTTAATAGCCAACAGGGTGCCTTGCAGTCAGCAGTAGGGAGCACTACATAACAAGGGCCCTATCCAAATGCATTTTGCAGATGGAGACAGACTTTCTAGAGAGGGGAAGCAATGACACAGTCTCAAAAAAGCTGATGTGTGTGTGTGTTTGCAGAGGTGTCCTGAGGCTGAAAGCACAGAGCTAGGCACACGGTAGGTGTTCTGCATATTAGACCAGCTGACCAGGTGCGGTGGCTTGCATCTGTAGTCTCAGCTACCCAGGAGGATAGTTTTGAGATTTGGAGATTAAAGGGCTGGGGGTGGGGTGGGTAAAATACAGTACCTGTTTATTCTGGGACGTACCAGGATATGCTGATCGAATGGAGGTTCTCAGGCCCAGCTGCCCGTCTGGCACTAACTTCAGGTTGAGTTTTCTTTTCCTTTTTCTTTTTTTGGTGGCAGTTTGACTGGGGCCGGGTTTGAACCTGCCACCCTCGGTACATGGAGCCGGTGCCCTACCCACTAGGCCACAGGCGCCACCCAATTATTGGCTTTTTTCAATTATTCATTTAACAAATATTAATGGATCGATATCTCTCTCTCTCTCTCTCTTGCCTCCTTCTGCCTTCCTTTTCTCTCTCTCTCCTGTCTTCCCCCTCACTCTTCTTTACTCTCTCTCTCTTCTCTTCCCCCTCTTCCCCACTCTCCCCTTATCTCTCCTCTTTTCTCTCCTCCTCGGTGCTGTTCTGCAGCCTCCCTCCCTCCACCAATAAAGACCTTTCATACCAAAAAAAAAAAAAAAAAACAAAAACAAATATTAATGGATCCCTGCACTCTGCCAGGCATAGGGTAGGTGTCAGGCTCTAAAGATAACACATGCTAGCAGAAGGCCCACATGCAGGTGGTGGTAGTGGGAAGCAGGGGTCTTTTAGCCAGAGTTGTCAGGGGAACCCTGGCAAAGAGGTGACCTTTTATAAACTTGAGGGAAATGAGGACAGGACTTTCAAGAACAAAGGTCAGGAAGAGGGGGAAGGGCAGTGGGAGCAGCTGGGTAAGGAGTCTGGCCAGACATTCCCCATACACACCTCCCCCAGTACTAGTTTGTTTGTTTGTGGTTTTTTTTTGAGACAGAGTCTCCCTGGCATCACAGCTCACAGCAACCTCAAAGTCTTGGGCTTAAGTGATTCTCTGGTTTTAAGTGGCCCTGTCTTTCCATTTGCCATCCCAGACTTTTGACCCCAACCTTGTGGTGACACCCTATCTGGAAAAATCCTCCAGCTTTGGGAAAAGCTTTATAATGTCACAAGGGATCATCAAAGGGCTTTTCTGTCCTCTCCTAGAAGCCAGCACCTCGGGGCAGCATTTCACCTGTCCAGCATAGGGACACCTCATGGGAACAGAGGCCATCAAGAGCCCTGGAGCATGGGTGTTTTACTTGGGTTATTTCTTGTACCCCTCATACCCCCTGCACAATACAGATGAGGAAACTGAGCACCAAAGAGGGGTCCTAACCAGTCCAAAGCCACATAGCACACAGGTTGGAGGGCTGGGGTTTGAGGCCAGGTTTTTGTGTCCTGTTTAACTTGGGCTTTAGGAAATCAGTGAACCCCTCAAAGTGAAACAAAATTGTAGCTAAGATATGAACCTTTTCTGGTGTAGGAAACCTTCCACCCATGAGGGCCAGGACTCCACGGTTACTCAGCCCCAAGTTGGACTCTGTCACCTATCACACAGCAAGGGGTTAGGCCTCTCTGAGCTTCAGTCTCTCCTCTGTTAAATTTCCCATGGCCCAGGGCTGTTGTAAGGATGAAAGCACATGAAGCCCTCAGTATGGTGACTGGCACACAGTAGGTGGTCAATAAATGCAGAGGATATTGCAGAAGTTGGTAAAGAGGGCTGCGCTGTGGCTCAAAGGAGCAGGGCGCCTGCCCCATACGCAGGAGGTAGCCGGTTCAAGCCCAGTCCTGGCCAAAAAAAAAAGAAAAAGAACTGGTAAAGAGTTTCACATGTTCACAAGGAAACTGTTCAGTGAGTGACACCCTTTGTCAGCGTGCCCCGTATATCCCTGTACATTTTTTAAAATCCACATATGAAAAGTCTGGGAGGAAATGCACCTCAGCAAAATGGGAATGATGTTTGTCTCTGGCATAAGGGTTATAGGCAGTTTAGTTTTCTACCTTGTGTTTTTCAGATTTTCTTTTTATTTGCTTTTTTGAGACAAGAGTCTCTCTATTGCCTAAGCAGGAGTGCAGTGGCATGATTATAGCTCATGGTAGCCTCCAACTCCTGGGCTCAAGTGATCCTCCCACCTTAGCCCTCAGAGTAGCTAGAACTATAGAAGCATGCCACCACCTCTGGCTAATTTTTTTTTTTTTTTT